CTACACTTATCCTTGAAACAGACAATATTTAGATCTACCCACGTGAATGAACTGAAATATTTGGATACAATATTTTCACTTTTATCACAGCTTATTGCTTATGTAGCGAAATCAAACAGTGTTATTTTAATGGCTGCTCTAATATAAGTGTACTTATATTACGTCATCAGTGAAGGTTGTTCAAAAGGCGTTTTTACAAATCCATCACACGCAATTTCGTCCGCAAATACATGGTGTGGCTTTAGTTTAAATGTGAATATGTGTGAGTTAATAGTGTGTTGTTAAGCACACAAAGCTACACAATAAGCTACTAATTATTCATTACAATGGTATTTTTGGCATGGAAGAGGATCATTCGACATTTTTTTTTTCATGTCTATAAATTTTCTTCATGAGTATGTCGTATTTACAAATCTATGTAGTAAACCGATCCATATTTCCGTATACCCATCAATATTGCCTGGAAAACCATCGATGTATCTCAGCATAATTAAACTATAAATTTTCTTCATGAGTATGTCGTATTTACAAATCTATGTAGTAAACCGATCCATATTTTCGTATACCCATCAATATTGCCTGGAAAACCATCGATGTATCTCAGCATAATTAAATTTGAATGAAACAAGACGTTTCCTTTGAACATCTGTCTGTTTATCCTTCATGACGTTTTTCTAATCTCGTTCCGGACTATTGTATTATAAGTAATGATCGGGAGAGTGAAGAAGTGAATTGGTACGTACCGATAGGATTCTCCAATTTAATTTAAGGTGACATTTTGCAAAGACTATAAATTACGAGAAAATTTCAAAATAAATTTTTACATTTTCATTTAGATTACAATTTGGAAAATCTGGAAAAGATATGTATGTATAAATATCCACACCTATATCTGTTGAAAAAACTCAAACATGCATTAAACTGGAGACTATAATATCATGCTACCTGACATCTGTTCATACGTTACACTGGAAATTATAACATCAAGTTACCTGACACCTGTTTATACGTTACACTGGAGACTATAACATCAAGTTACCTGACATCTGTTCATACGTTACACAGGAAACTATGATAAAATGCTGCACTAACAGCTGTTCATACATTAAACTGTAGACTATAATATCATGCTACCTGACATCTGTTCATACGTTACACTGGAAACTATGATAAAATGCTGCACTAACAGCTGTTCATACATTAAACTGGAGACTATAATATCATGCTACCTGACATTTGTTCATACGTTACACTGGAAATTATGATAAAATGCTGCACTAACAGCTGTTCATACATTAAACTGTAGAGTATAATATCATGCTACCTGACATCTGTTCATATGTTACACTGGAGACTATAACATCAAGTTACCTGACACCTGTTTATACGTTACACTGGAGACTATAACATCAAGTTACCTGACACCTGTTCATACGTTGAACTGGAGACTATAGCATTAAGTTACCTGACACCTGTTCATACGTTAAACTGTAGACTATAGCATTAAGTTACCTGACACCTGTTCATACGTTAAACTGTAGACTATAGCATTAAGTTACCTGACACCTGTTCATACGTTAAACTGTAGACTATAGCATAAGTTACCTGACACCTGTTCATACGTTACACCGGAGACTATAACATAAAGTTACCTGACACCTGTTGATACGTTACACAGGAGACTATAATATCTAGTTATCTGACACCTGTTCATACGTTTAAACTGGAGACTACAATACCATGCTACCTAACACCTGTTCATACGTTAAACTGGTAACTATAACATCAAGTTACCTGACACCTGTTCGTACGTTAAACTGTAGACTATAGCATCAAGTTACCTGACACCAGTTCATACATTAAACTGGAGACTGCAGTACCATGCTACCTGACACCTATTCATACGTTACATTGGAGACTATAACATCAAGTTACCTGACACCTGTTCATACGTTAAACTGGAGACTATAATATCATGCTACCAGACACCTGTTCATACGTTAAATTAGAGATTATAGTATCATACTCACTGACACCTGTTCATAAGTTACACTGGATACTATAATATCATGCTGAACACCTGTTTACCTGAAGACTATTATGTTTTACCAATATTTGTCAGGCTTCATTCTCTACAGGTAAAGGAAGTGTCAGAATGACGTTACGGAAACAGGGGTTTGAGTCTTACGTTTAGAATAAAACGATTTTGTATTTTTGTATTTTTTGGCCAACAAATGTTGTTTGTCGCATTAAAAATGTTTTAATACCACACAACGATGGTCAACTTCTACAAGTTAGAACTTTGTTGTTTGTCGTGTTAAAAAAAAGCTTTTGATAAGATACGACGATGATAAGAGATGATACTGCAAAAACTTCAATAATTAGGGCTCAGTCTTGAAGACGTGACAAACAAATATACATATACGACAACGGAACAAATATGAATTGTTTGTTTGTGGAAATTTGATCTGTAGCGTATTGTCCTACTACAGTGTTGTAACTTCTACACTTCAACGGTTCACCCAGTGGGATCTTCACTTCATAATTAAAAGTGAAGCGTGTTAATTGATTTGTTTGTTTGTAATTAAGCACAAAGCTACACAATGGGCTATCTGTGCTCTGACCACCACGGGTATCGAAACCCGGATTGTAGCGTTGTAAGTCCGCAGACATCCCGCTGTGCCACTGGGGGGCGTGTTAATTGGGATCGTCCGGTTAACTTTCAGTCCCGATTAATTTGTCTCACGGGAGAAATTTTAAAATGTTTGTGTGTTTGTTTTGAATTTCGCGCAAAGCGATTGAAAGGGCGAGCATGTTTGGTGAGACGGGGATTCGAACCCGCAGTTTGCGAGTCGAGCGCCCTAACCACCTGGTTATGCCAGGTCGTTTTAAAATGACAACAACAAAGGTTATTGGGTGATATTCATAACAACAGTAATATGTCAACAACTTTATATCTGCTATATCAAGTGCCGACGAGGCCTTTCGTACAATACCAGAGTTCATCAGGCCGGCGGGGATACGACAGACATAGTAGTGGTCGAAACGCTATTTATATCTTCAACAACAACCGTTTCGGTGTAAATTCGATGAAGTTGGTGAACTGTAATTGTCATCAGAAGTGTGTTGTTATGAATATCACCAATAACCTATGTTGTTGTCATCAGAAGTGCGTTGTTATGAATATCATCCAATAACCTATGTTGTTGTCATCAGAAGTGTGTTGTTATGAATATCACCCAATAACCTATGTTGTTGTCATCAGAAGTGTGCATTCTTTTTTATTTTTACTGTTCTTATAATTACAAAGTTTCTAATTGCTCTCACAAAATCTACTTCTAGTGACAGGTTTAGGCTTAAGGTCTAGTAACACAATACAAATTCGTCAAGACATGGCTTGTATATACAAAGCTTCTAGGCTGTCACAGATGTACTCAAATGATAAGGAAATCGGGTTATCTTAATACCTATGCAAACATTTTCAAGCTGGGACAGCTTTTCTGTATAAAAAAAAATAGCTTAAAGATTGTTTGTTTGTAGTTAAGCACAAAACTACACAATGGGTTAGCTGTATTCCGCCCACCACGGGTAACGAAACCCGATTTCTAGTATCGTCAGTCCGCAGACATACCGCTGTGCCACTGGGGGCAGCTTAAAAGATGTTTCTGTTTTATTTATACTAAATATCTGGTGAAAATGTAAATATCGTACTCATATTTATTGATCAGAGAATGTTAAATTTAATACAAATTTTATTAACATCACTTGTATTAAATGTTTAAAAAAGTATTCAAATAAGAAAAAAAGTACTTAGAGCATACTGTATTTAAATTATATGTTCAGTATTTTAGGCTAGTCGATGAGTAAATAACATATCTCTTAAGCATTTAACAGCTGTTGTTATGCAATTTTATAATATAAACCCAGCCGCCCCGATGAGTCCTGGTATTGGACGAAAGACCTCTTCAGCACTGGATATAGCAGATATAGTGTGGTTAACGTATTGTTATATATACTTCTTTACTTCCACGCTTAAGTTATAAGAATATGTACATGGAGTTAACTTACCTATCTTATTGAACCGCACGCCCAGTAATACAATAGAACACGTCGAGTTGAGATCGTAATATGAAAGTACCGAATGATCCACTTGTTTTTTACCGCCGGTAGTTAGATATATAAAATTTTCAAGAGACTAGATAACAGCGATTAAATACAATACAAACGCTCGTCAGCTTGTACTTGTTTTAGTTGAAATATAGGTGAACACGTCTTACGCACAGCACCAGGAACGAAGAACGCGTGATAGACAATTCTCCAGCGTCTGAGTGTGTTTGTTATACTTATATAGATATATGTATATTTATATGTATATATATATATATATATGACGAGGAAGAAGTCGAAACAACCCGCGTTCTGACTTTCCATATGCGCTACTGGTTAGTCCCTCAAGAGGTGGCGCTTTAAACGGGTGGATTACTTAAACAAGAGAAAGGGGTTAAGACAAGAAGAGGGGGTTCCGGGTAACTGACTTCAGGTTGCCTGAATCAATACACAGCGTCATACGTGTAAACTAATCATAGTTTAGCATACAAGGATACATGTTTGGATAGTCACGTATGTAACATGTGCCTTATATGAGTATGTATTTATATCAACTCGTTGACGGCATGTCACTAATTTTGTGAGTCAAATGTTAACCACTTTTACTTGATACTTTAAGAAGTGTAAAATAAATCTTCAAACACTGACATACAGTATCACATACTAATGCGTTTCTGCGCATGAAAAATATATTATGAATATCAAAAATTAATGGAGTAAATTAGGCTTATTGCGCATCTGCTGATAAAAATAATAAAAGTTGTGTCTTTTTCTTATCATTTTCACGTGGACAACGTTTTTTGAAATAACTGGAGATCTCAGTACTTAGTGGAGGAAGTAAAACATAATATACGGTGTAAAATTTGTGTTAAAAAGAACACAATGTGTTTTATGGAACACACGTTTGGCGTTTGGATGGTAATAACACAAGTTCGAGTTTAAAACAACATAATTATAGGGGACTAACAAAACAAGAAACAAATGACATTGGCTGATGCACAATCATTGTGTTGAATTTTACACAATCTACTTGCACGATAACATTAGTAAATCAAAGCTGTTCTTACTAAAACTTTTTAACAAGTTGAGCACTGTATAAAAACGAAATTTGAAAATCCCCTTCACATGAAGAGGGATTCGTTTCCACCATGTGCTACTCCTGCACAGCTCAAACAGAAACTTGTCACAACGGGGCGACTTCACAACACAACAATGCACTTAGATATACACAGTTTTAAACTGAAAACCGAGCGTTACTTGTGTGTTTATATCACTAAAATACTTAATTGTGCTATTGTTTACACGAGTCTGTGTGTGTGGAGAATTACAATTTATATTGTCGTGAAATAAGTATTTGAGTTAGTTTACAATACAGTTTTTTAAGATGTACTCCTAAGATATAACAGTGCATTTCGATGTATAATTCACTTTTTTAAGGTCAAGAATGATGAATATTTAAGAAATTGACCTGAACTAAATTTTTATTGAAAAATATCGAGAAACATCAATAATTAGGCCTGAAATAAATTATATATTTTTTATATTTGTTGACATTTCTAGCTGAAAACCTAAAGTGTTTATCACCCTTTGGATATCCTATCAAAGAAATTAACAAATGTGTTTCTTTTATTGAGTTTCTGCTGTTTACGTATAAATATGCGGCAAGGTTTCTCTAAGATGTTCAAAAAATGAAACTGAATCGGTTTTGGCAGAAAGGTTGTCTGTCAGTCACGGGGAATAAAGTATTCTTAAGGTGTAACTTAAAAGTCAGAATTGAATATGAAACCAATTAGTACTAAAGCCTGCAGAAAACATAAAAATATCACTAATAATACAACACATTAACACAACACAAAAGCCTTCAAAACAAATAAGAAGTACATTAATAATAATACCAATACAGAAACGTCCAACAAAAACATAGAGGCCCGGAGAATTAAACATAAAAATGCTAATAATTATATTTATACATTTCTGAATGAGAATTCAGAACTACTTTATACCACAGTTCCCACCTTTTATAACGTTATAATCAGACTGTGACATTACACGTCATATAACCAGTAAATGTAATCACCATTGTTTTAAATATTACTCTATCTCTTTAGCTAGCACTGCCTTATATATACGACATCAAATCGAATGTGTAGAATTGAAAGATAAACGTTATCGATACCAGATACGCAGTTTTGTTCTGTAATCTGAACATCTTAATGATGGAAAATTTGTCTCGTCAGATGCAAAAAAAGCCTGTGTTTCAAAACTCATTAAAAGCTGCAACTATTATTACGCTGTTTTATATTGTGCAACATCCTTCGTCAGCTGGGTTATATGTCTGCATAGTGACAATGTTTTTATCGTAAAACAGTTGGTGTGTATACTCTCAGACTGTCGACAGTATTTTTATGTCATTCTACAACAGTCGGTTTGTACACCTGTATACTGTTAACAATGTTTTTATGACATAAGACAAACTACAATAGTCAGGTTATACGGGTGTAATTTGTTAACAATGTGTTTTTGTCATACTACAATAGCGGGTTGTATATCTGCAAGCGGTTAACTTGTGTTGTTTGGGAGAAAATCATGTTTTGTTTACAAATTTATCATTGTCTACAAAAACTAAGTACGTTCCACAGTAACTCACTGTTAATTAACAAGACTATGTAGGTTGCATGGCAACGAGGTTATGAAGGCTCTAAAGCAACTTGTTGCCACTGAAACTATGTAGGTTTAAACAGTAAGTAATTTCGTAACCTATATAAAAGAAAACACAAAGACGGCAAATGAAAATTGATCCAGTATTATCAAGTACCCGATGAAACAGTGTGGCGAAACAACCAGCCCTTCTTGCTTCAAGATCGTTACAGATGCTTGGGGTGAAACGCTTCTTTGAATCAATGAGAACCTCTTAGTATAAGAAACTGAATTGCTAAACTGGCTTCAATAACTTGGTTTGTAAATATCTCACCTGAATTATGTGAAATCAGGCAATGAAGATGAGTTACCGTTAGGCCTTCTTACAAGAGAATGTCAAATGATGAAATAAAACGCCAATTTCGTACACTTACACTTTTTAGAGATGGCAAATGTCACAATAGTGATGATGTCATGTAGTTGTTTGGTTTGGTCCCTAGCCGTCCCTAATTTATCAGTGAAAGACTAGAGGGACGGCAGCTAGTCATCACCACCCACCGCCAACTCTTGGCTCATGTAGTGTTTTGAAATGGCAGTACCTTCATTAAAGTATTTTGTTTCGTTGAACCTACGTTTTATACATTTGCAATTCATAAAACTTCTTTAAAAAACATAAGTTACAGAAATTGGGTAGCTTTGCTACAAACTGTCTGTTTTAATGAACGTATTATTATGACTTGATTCACTGTCACCAAACTTACGAAACCACCAGTAAGTTTACTTTTTCAAAAATACCGTATAACAGCGTTTCCCAGACTTTTATCGTCACACCCCTCTTTAATAAATAGGGTTTCTTGCGCGCCCCCTCTTTTATAAAATGAGTGAAAGAGTGACTTAATTAACGAGATGTAATACACGAATATGTATTAAAATGCTATATATTATTGCACTATTGACTCTACTTTAATCGCTCGCTCCCCAAGCTATAACTTGCGTCCCTCAAGGATGGACACTTTGGGAAACGCAGCCGCAAATTTTTACAAAAATATATCTTTTCGAGTCATTTTTAATATTTATATATATATATCAAAATCTTTCTTTTCAATAGTACATAACAGCAAATTTATTAATTTTTTTTACAATTTGTAGAATTTCATATTGATATCAACATCGAGTTGTCAGTCTTCGTATGTGCTGAATGGTCAATCTGACAAAAACTCTTATCAAGAACAAAAATATTTCTTTTTATGAAGTAATTTCACGAAAAAAATGGGACTTCCTCCTTCGATTGACGGACAGAAAATTTCTAAGATAAAAGCATGAACAAAAGAAAAACATAAAGTTTGGTTTCTTTTGAATTTTGCGCAAACTTTTAAGTTTCCAAACTAAATCTCAAACTAGTAATATTTATCTTACTAATGATTATGTTGAAGTGGCAACATTATTTCTACATGGAGTATATAGTTTTAAACAATATAAGTTAGTTAATTTAACGCCCCGGAAATTGTGCAGCTGTATTGCAAATCAGTTGAAACGTGGTTTAAAGCTGTTTCTATGATGTCATCCTTAAAATCTATATAAGGGCAAGAAAGCTAAAGGAAAAACGGCATGGCGAAGGTCAAGAGTAGTTTACCACACCTTTTAAAATATTGAACGCCCTGTTACGCCCTCTGTCAGCACCCCACTTGAAGTAAAATGGAGTCTACCTATCTGTATCGATAAGTAATAAATATGGATATTTTCAAGCAGTCGATACTAACCTTGTATCAACAAATAAAAGATTTTCAAATAAAACATCATCAAGTTTATGCCCTGCTGGCTACTTTCCAAGTGTCGATCTGGTAAGTTGAATACAGGCTATAAATGATAGTAAATTCAGTGTATATACTACGTTATTTTATGCTCAGTTCATTCACAAAGTACGTTGTTACAGTGCTTGTTATATATATGGTGTTACGTATGTATCAAAAGTTTTTTCTTCTTCAATTTGAGTATTTGTTGCAAATATTTAATATATATATATATATATATACGTGCTTGAACTGAAAACATTGTTTTAACAGTGATGTGATAACTTGCTATGTTATTTTGCAGTTATATTGTATACATTCATAAGTCCCCACCTCCCAACCTCCGGGAACCGATTTCCCATGGTGGGCCCAGCGCAGATAATCTGTTCTGGTACTTTGCACATAACAACAAACAACCAAACGACTACATTCAAAACGTATATCTGAACACTGTACACATCGATACAAAAACACCACCAATCTTAAGTATTACACTGTTATCTAATTTAAGTCCAGTAAGACCCAATGGTTAGCGTGTACGGCTCCTGAACAAGAGGGTTCGTGGTTCGCGTCCCATTACCGCAGAAACACGCAGAGCACTTTGAGCTGTGGGTGCATCAAATCCTACTATTCGTTCAAAGCTAGAGATGGTTATGCCCAGATAGGCCTTGTGTAGCTTCGTGCGAAAT